GCAGCGGCGTGCGCGTGTCAGCAACGTGTCAGCGGCGTGCGCGTGTCAGCAACGTGTCAGCGGCGTGCGCGTGTCAGCAACGTGTCAGCGGCGTGCGCCTGTCAGCGGCTTGTCAGCGGCGTGCACCTGTCAGCAACGTGTCAGTGGCGTGTCAGCGGTGTGCGCGTGTCAGCGGCGTGTCAGCGGCGTGTCAGCGGCGTGTCAGCGGCGTGTGCCTGTCAGTGGCTTGTCAGCGGCTTGTCAGCGGCTTGTCAGCGGCTTGTCAGCGGCGTGCGCGTGTCAGCAACGTGTCAGCGGCGTGCGCGTGTCAGCAACGTGTCAGCGGCGTGCGCGTGTCAGCGGCTTGTCAGCGGCGTGCGCGTGTCAGCGGCGTGCGCGTGTCAGTGGCATGTCAGCGGCGTGCGCGTGTCAGCGGCGTGCGCGTGTCAGCGGCGTGTCAGCGGCGTGCGCGTGTCAGCGGCTTGTCAGCGGCGTGCGCGTGTCAGCGGCGTGCGCGTGTCAGCGGCTTGTCAGCGGCGTGTCAGCGGCGTGTCAGCGGCTTGTCAGCAGCGTGCGCTTACCTGATGCCTAAGTATCAACCCATTTTGTGTCTTAAATGACCATTAAGAAAATAATTAGTATAACATGACTACAGCTACTGCCTAGTTGTGCAGCTTGTCACATGTAGTCCGTAAAATACAGCTACCATTGTTATAGACTGTAGTATCACATGAGGTATATTTGTATGGATACATTCTGATTGTATAATAGCTGGTTATTGGTTTCACTGCGGCAGCATGTTTTAGCTCCTACTTGAGCTGGTCTTGACAGGTCCATGCCGTCATTGGCCCGCACTATCACTCGCCCGCGTCATCATTGGCTGCCTGTCCTCTCACCTCTTTATGATTGCATGCCAGTTGCTTTTCCAGACTCTCCCGTTAAGACCCTCCATGACTGGCCATCTGTCCCCAGGTACCCGCAGCTCTTTGCAGCAGGAATGCTGTCAGGGATCTTCACTACTGCTATCATGGCTCCCGGGGAGAGGATCAAGTGTCTCTTGCAGGTTGCAAATCACTGTTCCCATTCTTACTTTCTGTGTGTGTGTGTGTGTGTGTGTGTGTGTGTACCAGTGTGCTTCATATGCTTGTGCCTGTATATAAATGTACAATCTTATGTTAAATCCATTTGGAACTTAATACTTTGTCCTTTGGGACATTAAGTCTTTGCATTCCCAGTGAATTTCAACATTGCACAATCTGTGTGTGTGTGTGTGTGTTCTCACAGATTCAGGCTTCATCGGGAGAAATTAAGTATGCTGGGCCCATGGACTGCGTGAAGCAGCTGTACCGGGAGAGTGGGATCCGGGGCGTTTACAAAGGCACTGGGCTGACTCTCATGAGGGGTACCATCCGTCCGTCCATCCGTCTGTCGGCCGCAGAGGTGTTTCCCTGCTGTTTGGCAGCCGGCGACAGGGTGACTGACCCCACCTCTCTGTCTCAGATGTGCCGGCCAGCGGGATGTACTTCATGACTTATGAGTGGTTGAAGAACATCTTGACACCAGAAGGCCGGAGGTCGGTGTGGCGTCCGCCAGCGTGCGCTGAAATTGCCCTTTAAGCAAATGGCTCCTTTGACAAAGTGGTCTGTCTCATGGGCCACTAGATGATGTGTAGGGAGCCCCAGCAACTGCAGGTCTGCTTAGGAAATTCGTTCTTAATAAGGTCCTGATCTGCAGGCATGCAGGTAGTGATATGCAACACTGAATCTGAGCTGGAAGATGGTGTAGTAATAATAATAATAATAATAATAATAATGCATTTTGTTTTCATGGATGTAAAGATATTACATAGGAAGTGTTGGGGGATACAGGGGGCAGCTAAGTAATTATATACGATATAAGAATAATATATGTACAAAATATTATATGTTGTATATGAATTAATAGTGGAAAATATATAGTACAGGATTTTAATATACAAGGCATATATGTGTTTCATGTATATGATGTATGGTACTGTGGTAATGTTGCGCTAAAATGCAGTATGTCTCGGTGGCGCCCCCTACAGCCCCAGTGAGCTGAGTGTGCCGAGCATCCTCTTCGCCGGCGGCATGGCTGGCATCTTCAACTGGGCCGTGGCCATCCCACCTGATGTGCTTAAGTCCCGCTTCCAGACAGGTGAGCCCCCCCCCCCCCACACACACACACGCCCCCAGCCTCTAACAGGTCTGTGTCTCTGCTCATTGCTGATGATGAAGGTGGGCGTGACAGACCCTGTACAGTGCACTGCTGGAAATGCCGTCGCTGGTCGGTCTCCATTAGAGCAGTGTTACTCGACCCAGTCCTTGGGAAACCCCAGATGGTCCACGTTTTTCCCCAAGGACTGGTTTGAGAAACACCGCTTTAGAGGTCCATGTAACTGCAGAAAAAAACACTAGAATGTGAGAATGTGCCCCCCCCACCCCAGGAAAGAGGATGAGTCCTGACCCTGATAAGCATCTCCTCATGCTGGGTCTCGAGTATAAATTATCACAGAACTATGCAGATTAGCTAGTTGGTTCATGTCTGGTATCTTTAGTTAAAGATGGACCTTTTCCCTTTGGCTAGCAGTGATCATGGCTCCATTAATTAGCCCTATTCTGTGACGAGCGGGAGAGAATTAACCTGCTAAGGGATTCTGCAGCTTGCCGTGTCTGTCAGGTGCCAGGGATGCATCACATCACTGCTCCTGCCGCCGCCACCGAACCCTCGTTAATGGGACAGGGCGCTCAGCGGCGGGGGGGGAGGTTGGAGCGGGAAAGGATGGGCAATGGACACGGGGGGGTTCTCTGATCGCGGACAAGCACGTGGCCGTTGGGTGCGGGCTGGCAGAGTTACTGAATTGGAGGGAACAGAATTTGTGTGTGTGTGTGTGTGTGTGTGTGTGTGTGTGTGTGTGTGGAGAGAGGCAGGTCTGAAAAAGTCATCCAGGTGGTCTTCTAGTTGGGATCCAGCATGCAGAGGACCTGTAGCTCTTGCTTTTCTAGAGTCTGTTTTACATGCAAAAATAAGATTAAGTCAAAACTTAATCTGAAAACAAGACTCCTTCCTGGGAAATGTATGATCATTAACATAATGTTATATCTCATAGTTAAAACAGACTGAGGTATCCCCAGGAAAAACCTGCTGTAAATAATGCTGACCTTCCCCCCAGCTCCTGAAGGAAAGTACCCCAACGGCTTTCGGGACGTCCTCCGCGAGCTGCTCAGAGAAGAAGGCGTGGGCTCCCTATACAAGGGCTTCACGGCCGTCATGCTGAGGGCTTTCCCCGCCAATGCCGTGCGTACCCATCACCGACCCCGCAAACAAACACACCACGCCCCGTCCAAACTGTGCCTCTTTATCACCATGATGTAGCGCTCGAAACGGCCGCTAGCACCTCATATTCATCAGTGGCTTATAACCTGTGACTCACGTCAGCACTGTTTACACATCTGCTGGCAACACTGTGCAGTTATCAGCATAGCCCTGCTACTCACACCCCCCCCCCCTCCCAGGCCTCCTGCCAACACTCTGGTTACTCACCCGCATCCCCTCACCCCCTCCTTATGCAAGCATGAAAAAAAAATTCTCATTTGCAGTCCTTACTGTGCAGCTCACTTTCACACAGGGCATATTCTGAGGCTCCTGATCGTGTCTCCCTGCAGGCCTGTTTCCTTGGGTTTGAAGTCGCAATGAAGTTCCTCAACTGGGCCGTGCCGAACCTGTGACCCCACCCTACCCATTTCCCCCCCAACCTCTGATTTGGACCGATTCACGCCCAAAAACACAGTCACACCAAGGCTAAGTAGGACTGATGGAGGAATGGGCGTGACAGCTGGAGTCGTCTAGCTACCTGTTCTCGTTTGCTTGAAGTTTAATTCTATTTTTTTTTTTTAAACAACAAAGGGGGAATTGGACACAGGTGCCTTACACTGTCTGAATGTGTCTCCTCAATGCACATGCACTCTGTTTGTGTGGGACAAGCCATTAGCTCCCAGTTCTGCAGCGGTCTATAGTACGACTGTAAAACCATCTCTGATTTCTCTGAGTGTGTTTCTGTGTCCATGTCACTAAATGTCAGGTTCTGTCTCTAAGGGGACAGCTTTGCTGAAATTCACACAAAGGGTAATTATTATAATTTATCATTCTGTTGTTAATTAATTCCAAAGATTGACATTTAATACATTTAATCTTGAGATCGGGACCGCAGGTGCCCGTCACATTAACACGTAGCTGCCACTGGCCATAGAGATGCAACACCACATGTCGAGACATTAATAAATATGAGAACAAACATGCTACTATGTAGCAATGTGATAGGTTCTATTATGTTTTATGTCTTAAGCGCTGTGGGATTTGAAACAAACGTCTACATGGAAACAGAAGGCATCAGGGTCGAATACCCAGTATCACTTGGAGTGGTCTATCAGTAATGCAAGAGAGGGCAAACTTTTGAGAAGCAGTTCAACTGCCTTGTATTCCTGGAAGACATTTTACCTGGCTGACTTAGTTATGTAGGCTTGTATTTGTAACCATGTCAACTTCACACATGCATGGGTTCCCAGAATGCTGAAACGGATGGATGGATGGAAAACAGACTGACTGACAGATAGCACATGCTGAATTGTTTTACGTGATGGGTGTAAGGTGAGCTCCAATGTGCTGGGGTTTACAGTCCTGCTAGAACATGACCAATGCGTTCCTCCAAAACCTCGCGTTCACTAAAATCGCGAACCAAAATACTCGTATCCAACTGGAAAACCGGGATTTGGGGAATGCAACTCCAAAACGTAACTTAGGCCAAGCAACATGAATTAAATAATAGAATCAGTAATACCAGTGGTCAATAATGTAATTATATGTATTTTAAATCCATCCATCCCTCCATACATTTTCTGTAACATCCTATTAAGGGTTGCAGGGGGCCCAGATCCTATTCCGCAGGCTCCAGGTGCAAGGCAAGGAACACCCCAGGGTGGTATATTTTAAATAATAATAATGCATTAATAAATTATATCATAAACATAATCTCACGAGAATTGCCTAGTAACTGCTTCAACCAAAACTGCTAAACTCATCACCTTGCCGATTGCGATGAATTGGGAGTGGTAATGGCCAAAATGACGCTTCATGAACCATTTGCTGTATTTTCTGTTCCCACCAGATGGTGCTCTTGGTTTACTTTGGGGCATGCTTCAAGTTTGTTTTTCTTGTTTTTTTTTTTTTAAACAGTGGGGTCGGAAGAGATAGCACATGGTTCATGAGGCGATGTTTTGGTCATCATTAGTAGATTTTTAGAATCTAAGACTTTGACCTGTGCAATATGTGGATGTACAAAAAGTTTGATCCTTTTAGATTTGAAAACCATTTTGACTGAAAAGAAGAGGTGCAAAAAGAATGATTTCTTCATGAATCGGATATCGCTATCGGATATTCACGTGGATCGCTGTTTTTGCCTGTAAGTAGTGTTTCTCACTAAGACCATATTATGTTGTAGTTTGCACGATTTTCAGTCAGAGAGGAAAGCAATTACAAATGCGATTTCGCACTGTATTGAACTTGGGTTTTGTATCAATCGTGTTAGATTGCTGGTGTGATATGCGTTGTACCAGGTCTCGCTGTATTTTCATCTGACAATAATATCATCCATCTTCGAAAAGCTTATGTTGATCAGGTTCATGAGGCTGGAGCTCAAGTGGTGATCATGACAAAGCTCTAACAGTCCATTTACGCTTTCATGTTCATCACGTTGAGTTATAGCCAAGGAATAAGCGTCATTTGCAGGTAGGTAGGACCAGACCCATCCCCGGTAATCTTTGTAATTTCTTTGTGCCGAGTTGAGATACCAGCCACTTCATTAGTCAGACTAAACAAAAAGAACAAATTCTAAAAGCCTTCTTACATGTATTTAGCAGATGCTTTTGTCCAAAGTATCATAAGAACATAAGAAATTTACAAATGAGAGGAGGCCATTCGGCCCATCAAGCTCATTTGGGGAGAACTTTACTAATAGCTCAGAGTTGTCAAAATCTTATCTAGTTCCGATTTAAAGGAACCCAAGGTTTTAGCTTGTGCTACAATAGTAGGAAGACTATTCCATACTCTACATGCTGTGTAAAGAAGTGTTTCCTTAAATTCATTTTCAAATGTTCTCCCGCTAATTTCCACTTATGGGCATGAGTTCTACTGTTTAAACTTATACTGAAATAGCCATTTCGCTGAACAGCATCCAGACCTGTTAGAATCTTATATAGCTGGATCATGTCCCCCCTTAGTCTCCTTTGCTCGAGGCTGAACAGATTCAGCTCAGCTAACCTCTTCTCATAAGACGTTCCTCTAAGACCAGGAATCATTCTCGTAGCCCTACGTTGCACCCTTTCCAAGGCAGCAATGTCCTTCTTAAGGTATGGTGACCAAACCTGCACACAATATTCTAGGTGGGTCTTACCAATGAATTATATAATCATAGCATCACCTCCCTTGTCTTAAACTCCACACACCTTGAGATGTAACATCCTATTGGCCTTTTTTATTGCTTCCCCACATTGGTGAGAGTGGGACATGGAAGCATCAACAACAAGTTTACTGTATGTATTGACGTCAATATCATTAATGTAAATTAGGAACAATAGTGGTCCTAAAATTGAACCCTGCGGAACCCCAAACAAGTGAGAAGAGCTTGGGGTCAGACTGCAAGGCTAACAGTGCAGTTGGAGTTATGGGTCTTGCTTAAAGGCCTGACAATGATATAATTACTAATGGGATTTGAACCAACAATCTTCTGGACATGGTCCAATGAGATACGCCTATGCTCTTTGTGCATTTTTGGACCTGCCAGTTGTCAAACAGGATATCAGGTTAAAAACACATATCAGAGCTGACACTGGCAATCTAACCCTGGTTCTCCTGCACCATTGTCATGTTCTGTCTATTTTTACTGATGCCTCAGCACTTTGGCTCAGCCTCAGGACAGACGTGTTTAGAATTTTCACAGTTGTGTAAACTTGTGTAGGGGACAAAGCCCTCAGCATTATGGCTGTAAATAAAGTCAAAATTGATAATGTGGCGTAAGTAGCTAGAGTGAGTGTTATTTGGGAATATAATTCGGAGTTAAAGACAATTTTGTGGTATTCAGGTACAGACCATAAGAATCAAACAGTTTAACAGATATAATCAATAGTTGAGTGTCATGTTTGAAATGCAGCATCGGGGAGTAGTAATATCAAAATACAAACAAACAAACAGGCTTTATTTATCCATTTGCACAAGCACAGGCACACTGGAATGCTTCTCTTCGCCTACCCCATCTTGCTCTCCATAGCTTGGGGTCACAGCTGGGGGTTAAGGCTAGGGTTTCCACCCATCCCTTGCTCTACAAAGAACAAGTTGAGGGAGGCGTAAAAACAATTTCCCCACGGGGATTAATAAAGTGTTCATTATCATTATCATTAATACAGGACCATCCTGTACAATAGGGGACACATCAGTTTACTTTCCAATGCGTGATGATCCCATATTATAAGGGACGGGTGGAAAACCTACTTAAGGGCCTTATTGAAGGGCCCACAGACATATGTGACTGTTCTGCTAAGGCCAGGGCTTGAACTTGTGATCTTCTGATCACAGGCATAGGGACTTAGGCCTCTGTGCTTGTGATCAGAAAATCGCCGGTTCAAACCTGGCCTTGCCATGTATATGGGCCCTTAACCCCCAGCACGCTGAATTAGAATTTTTAGAATTAGGTGATCAGTGTTGACACACCACAGCACACAACAATTAAACGTGTCCTCTGCATTTAACCCATATGTGACACAGCAGGGGGCAGCTAATTCAGCGCCTTGGGGGCGGTACCTTGACCAGGGTACCTCAGTGGTGCCTTGCTGGTCGGGGATTCTTACCAGCAATCTTTCAATTACAAGTGCACTTCCCTATCCATTATGCCACCACGTGGTGCCACTACATGTGGCGGCCCTTTGTGGCTAGCTTGATCTCACCTTCAGAGCAAAATGGAGTAGACAAAAAAAGAGAATTTCCCCACAGGGATCAATAAAGTATCAAATACAGTGGTACCTCGGTTCTCGAACTCACTGGAACTCGAATTTCTTGAAAGTCGAACAAACCAGTTTGACCTAGAACTCGATCTGAATATCAGAAGTCGAACCGTGAACGCTGACCTAATATAAATTGTACGCGCCAGGAAATGAGTCATACTACAATGCAATTCTTACTTGAATGCCTTCTTCACAGACTGGACGATTAACCAAATAAAGCAGCGCAACATTACAGTAACTAGCAATAAATAAACCACTAACTTACGTGTACTATTACAGCATTTATGTCATTTATTTAAACTTTATTTTACCAAGTAAAACTGAAAACCAGTTCTCACTGCTTTATGTGATATTCGGGAGAAATAGCAGATTACGCATCGGAACTGCCTGGGATACAAACGTCATGCGTGTAACTAAACTCTTCAGCCAATAACTCTTCAGGCCAAAGGTGTGTCGTCACGGAGGCGGTTCCAGTTTGTGCAGCCGGGTGAGAGGTCGCAATGCATCTTACCGTAATGCATTGCGTCAGGATCAGAATGCGTTGCTTTTAGCCAGCGCTGTAAGCAAGTAGAACGCACCCAATGACCGGACTGGGGAAACAAACTGAAACGGGGACGAAATACAGAGGACTAATGACAACAACCAGAAACAGCTGATCACATGGGGATCTCACACGAGGTTAACGAGGGGGCGTGGCACACGGAAGGAGATTAGGGCAGGACAGGGGTAATGTTGCCATTAAGAAAAAAAATTCTCTTCTTGTTTTATCCTGCTCATTTTGTGTTTAAATGCTAAAAAAAACTTATTTAGGTGTAATTTGGGGGGCCGGGAACCAATTAATTGGTTTTCCATTATTTCTTATGGGAAAAATTCGATCAGAACTCGAACTTTTTAGGATTCGATCCGGAGTCCGGAACGGATTAAGTTCGAGAACCGAGGTACCACTGTACTACTACTAGATGTTACTGATTTTTATGCCGCGCATATAAAGACATATTTGCATTTTATCTAAAGGCAAACAAACGTTTAAAAATCGTTAACTTATTGTTCAAAAATATTTGAGACCCAGAATTTAAAATTGTTCATTTTAACTTAATTGAAATGGAGAGAGGGGCTACGTGTAGTGCAAATGATCAGTGTAGTTAGCCTGTTTTTTAACATATGTAAATCTATTTACTGTAAATTGCCACAGTCTGCGTTAAAATCTTGTAAGACTGCAATTTATCCACTTACAGAAAGACCCCACCAGCCTGACCGCTAATGCTTTTAAAACTGCAAGCTCACGAGTGGTCAGTCCTCATTGGCTAGGCCGTGGTTTCCATGGCAGCCCTGCAGCGCTGTTCCTGTGACCACGCCTCTAAAAAAAGGGCTGCCATAGTGGGTATTTATTATTTAATTGAAAATGTATTACAATGAACACCAAAATTTGGCCTTATAATTAAATTAATACTTAAAATACACGCGTTTTAAAGCAAATCGTGGAAGTAAATCAGGCAGTATAAAGTCCGTGTGGTATTATATTCACTCCATAAAATAAGTTTACCAATACGGGGACTCTACTCGGATTGCTGGCAGCCCTGTTGCACGAGTGACTCACAGGCACAGAGTAAATTGCGGAATATCGGCAACCCTGGCGATCTTTAATACACTAATAATTATATATCAAAGCCAATTTATCAAATGTTAACCCCAAAACACATCGAGAACTTAACGTTCTGAACTAGATTTTTTTTTTCCTGAAATGGGTTTATTTCGTGTTTAGATAACCTCTCGTTCACAGGAACTGAAGAAATATACACTAGAGCTGCGTTATAGCTGGGTACTGGACTCAGTGCAGCGCGGTTTACTCTTGCCGTTAGCAGATTCCTCACAGGCATTGCATTCTGCGCTTTGCAGCGATCAACAACCCTTTCATTTTTATTTCCAGCTGCAACTCTTTCGCCCCGACGAGCGTCTGCTGTCACAACCAAGGAAGCGACTGTTAACCCCATCCCCTCGCTCCCAGGGCTCCGACTCGGATGCGATCTGCGGTCGGCAGCTGGCGCTGGCTCTTGGAAACGCCACAGTTAAACGGAGGCCTTGTGGCATGGACTGGGAAAAAGATAAGGAGTGAGGAAGCCCCAACCCAAAAAGGAAAGAAAAAAACATTCAGCAGGAAGCACCAGCAGAGCGAAACTGTGAAAATAGACAGCCGCGGACGCTTCTAAAATACCAAACTTAAAAAAAGTAAACCACTTTTGCAGATAAAAGTAAAAGAAAAAATGTGTGCTTTGAACGAAACGCGCCGGTAGTTCGCTGACTTGCTGGTTCCTATAATGAAGTTATTATGCACTCCGTCGTGCTGTTTGATTGCTCTGCCATCAGAAGGGTGTTGGCCTAGATAGCCGTCTGCATGCAATCCAACTCACCTTACTATCCTGTTGGTTAGCTTGGCATACAGTGAATGCATTTGAAAAGACAAGGTGGCTTTTGGGATTGGATTTTGCACGGTGCGCAGTCAGCTGGGGGTGCTGGTATGGTGATGATGCTTTTCGGAAGGGAAAGTAAAAGCTAGTGGATGATACAGAGTAGCGGTTGTGGAGGGCTGGCTGTATCCGGTAACCGGCAGTGTTTGACAGTGCAGAAGTTCAGAGTAAAAAGTGATACGAGAGAGCGATCCGGTTCAACACACTATACTTAATCTACATCTTAGTACAGCTATATAGTGAAGCTACTAGGTGCCTGTATTGGTTAAATTACATGGATTGAAAAGAGGTCGATTTTCTTCCCTTTTTTTTCGTTTTTAAAAAACTCTGCTCGGTGCTTCTAATAGGTGAGAACAAGAAATACATCGACAGACGCGTTGGCCATGAGTATCGAAATACCAGCCGGCTTGACCGAGCTGCTGCAGGGCTACACTCTGGAGGTCCTCCGCCGGAGACCGTCCGATTTGGTGGAGTTTGCCGTACAGTACTTCACCCGTCTGCGGGAAAGCCGGAGCCAGGATGGAGCCGGGTCTGGGGGCAAGGGGATCATCTTCGACGGAGAGCTCGTGCAGCCTGAGCCAAATGGAGATGAGGATGATGATGACGATGAGGACTCGGACTTTGAACGTGAGTTTTTCCAGCTTTGTCACTTTGCTGCCTATACATGAAGGCCTTTAATTAAAATCCCAGCATCTGATCTTTTAATCTCCAAGATGGCAAATTACCTCAAGATTTAAAGTTGCATTACACTAAAATGTTATAAATGCTTGCATGCATCTAGTTGCTTGTATATGTACACTGCTGTCATCATGCCGGTTCACTGGGAAAATTGTTAGATGGCTAGTTTTAATAAGAGCAAATACTTGTACGCATGATTTACCCTCCTTTACGGTGTGTCTGACTCTTTCGTAATTATTTGCTGTTTGAAAATGTTAACATACTAAATTACAGACTAAGATCGTCTTACCCTGTTTGTAATATTATTTCTCTTATTTATTCAATTGTTTTTACTGGTGTCTTTTCTAACAGACTCGTTGTCTATGCTTTGTAATCCACCAGAAAACATTGCATAAGAAAAGCAGCCGGCACATGCACGGCCGTGAGCGTTTTCGGTTTCATACACAGCTTAATCCGCCTTCCGCCTTTGCATGGCGGGGGTCAATTACCATACGATCGCGGCAGTAGGCGCTAGGCTGCCTGGACCTGTGATGAGAAGGTTGCTTGTTCGAGAAACTCGTGTTTTTTTTCAAGCAAAGCTTCTTACTGCAAATGGCTCCACTGGCGTTTCGATACACCTGACGATTTATTTTCTTCCACCAAATTTTGGGCAGATGGGGGTCGTTTGAAATGGTGACAAAATCCCCCTGGAGAAAAAGGGGACCGTGCATGACAGCGCTGCAGGGACGTATCGATATGAAAGTCTTCTTTGAAGCAAAAACTCCAATTAGAAGCAGTGTGGCACCCGACAGGAACGGCTCCCATCATTTTTATGCACCATAGTTAATGTTATGCTTGCTGCTCTAATGACTCACCAGCATCGTGCATTATTTTTTTCCCTTTGCGTGTGTGGGACCTGAACCAGTGGCGATAAGTGTTCATTTTCATGTTGGTTTCCATCTGTTGTTGAATTCAAGTATTCGTGCTAGTAATTCCTCTAGGCATCCCCATAAGTGATGGGACCTTCGACATACTTCATACTTTGCGTGCGAGATCGCAGTAGTTTTATTAGCAGATCTCATGCTCCCTGTCAGGCTAGCTTTAGGCTACTTATGCCCCTCGGCACTCGATTCCCAGATAGGCAGCACTGCTAAATCTGTGACCACACGCAGTATCTACACACACGTTTTCACTCGCGCGTTTAGTCACACACGTGCCATTCCTTATAGTCACTTCCTGATCTGACGCATCTTAGGTCAGGGGCATAAACACATATTTGGGGATAAGAGTCCTTTGCAAGGCCTGTGCTGCCTGGAGTGGATAGGCTCTGCAGTGGAGCCTTCATACTGAGTCCCTTGACTTGGCTGCAATGCTAAGCTCATAAACCCCTCCGTGGATAAAATGGCTCTTATCTCTGCCCTGATAGGAAACGTGGCTTTCACAATGAGGCTAGCCTGCTTAATTCTCTTACTTCTGCATTTCTGCCCATGTTTTTTTTTTTATTAATTTTAATTTTATTTACTCTATACATCTAAAACATTGAGTGTAAGAGTGATTCCTCGACTGTAACAGGTTATAACTATAGCCTAAGTGAATAATGTTCAGTGCCATAATGACTATATAATTGATCCCCCAACCCAAGGGTAACCAGTGAGAAGATGGATGGATTGATAAAAAATTAATGATGTACCACAGACAAATATGTTGGTAAAAAACTGCTCATTGTAGTAATTTGGTTGCTGAAAATATTCTTGATTAAATTAATGTAATCAAGAATATTTCTTTACACTGCAGTTTCATAATTGTCTGCTCGGCTGTTAGTGGTTCTCTATTGTATACAACCTCGGGGGGGGGGGGGGGGGGGGGGGGGGCACGGCTGCTCTTGGCCAATGATAACACCTCTCCGTGGTCTCTCCTAATTGCCCTGTCTGATAGCTGTTAGCCACGTCCATTTTACATTGTCCAATCACATATTGACCAGGCATATTCTCCCAAGCCCTTGAGTATGGCCATGCACTCATCTCATGGACAAGAATAATGTGATCAGGGATATTGCTGGCTTCATTTATATTGTGTGGCAACCGTTAACATGGCCAGGAAGTAAAAGGGGAAATACTGACCTAATTACCGCTCTAAGAGCCCTTTTTCGATGCCTCTGTCAATAATCAAATTCTTTCCCATAACCACAAGCTGCTCTCCACTTTCCTGCATTCACAGCTGATTTATGTTCTTAAAAGAAGGTATTTGTTACAATCTGTTTGTTTATCAGGTTCTGTTGTCACAACGCCCGTGTCGTTTACAGACGTCCTCTGCTTTTGCACAGTAACATTTTGAAGACATTTTTCCCAGTGAAACTCAGGTTGACACCCATGACACTAATTATGACGGCTTGCTGTTGCCCTTAACCGGCGGTAACAGCATGATAACAGACTCCTTACCCGTGATAATGTTGGACGCATCCTCCAAAATGCGCACCTTTCCGAATGGTGACAATGAATCGTGTCAAACAATGTTTTAGCCTGATTTTTATTTTCTTTTCATTAGATTTGTTTTGCAATTATGGTCAGCCACTGCCTTTTAAGGGGTCAGGCCTGGTTGGGGGTCTGTGTTTTCTGAGCAGTCGTTAAAGGAGGTGTTGTTATGGATACACAGAAAGAGGTTTCTCTCCATGTTTTGTCGCCTGGCAACCCGATCCACTTCACATGGCACTCCTAATGCACGTCTGAGGGGGAATTCCTCGCAGGAACCGTGCTGAATTTTGTTCTGTTTGTCCCCGGATAACATCCTACATAGCCAAAGGGAATTTTACTGAGGGAACATGAAACAAAGAGCTAAATCTTTCGCTTTACCTGACTGGGACATTAAACCTAAAAGCTATTTGTAATCTCTTCTATAACTGATGCCAGTACTATTCCCAATTGAGGTATTCATCTCAAAACAACATTTATATATTGCAGTTCTGTCAAGCTTTTTACATTTCTATTATATTAGAATTGAAGGTTCCTATAGTATTTTTTTCTCTAATCCTCTATTTCCCATGAATCCTCGCCATCATGGAAAAGCTAATCCACGCTGGAATCCTATTAGGCAGCCAAATACCAATTAAATAAGATGTGAAAATGGAGCCTTTTATTAAATGCAAAAATAACCAGACAAGCAGTGTTTTTTTGCTTTCCCCCTGCCTAAACTGCTGCGTATTCAAAGCCCAGAAGGGGAACTGTCATTGAACTCTTGAGAAAATACGTTTTGGCACGGTGCCTCTTTGAAACGCACTTATGGCCTGAGTTTTGGAGAGTTCTATCTGTCAGCCCTGCCACAAAATTCCAACCGTTCATTTTTAGCTCCAGTTCTGTGTTTTTTGACATCAGGAGTGCCTCATCTGGCCTGTGTTTGCCGCATGGTGAAATGCCAGCTGTGTATAAGATTTGTCTTTCTGGATCAAAACTCTGGGAAGCAATGTGTGGCTGGACGGATTAGGGCTTGGTGCCCATGATCGGAAGGTCGTCTGTTCAAATCCCAGGGTTGGCAGAGTGATTTCGACATTGGACCCCTGAGCAAGGCCTCGTCTGACCCTGTTTTCTCAAAAATATACTTCACTTTGGATAAAACTGTCTGCTAAATAAAGAAAATGTAAAATGACTTGCAATGAAACGTAGCCAGTGGAAAACCAAGGGCCGAATCCCCTGAGTGACAAGTTACACACATAAAAGAGAACAACGCCAGAGATCCATTTCAGTGCATTTTAAGTGCTTTTGAGAGTCTCAACAGTGAGGTGTGGGAAATTAACACTGCGGCGTGGGAGCTTAATGTCACGGTGAGGGAACTTGACAGGGTGATGATTCATTTTTGGAAGAGGAGTTCATTTGCGTTACGGCCGCCACTCTGGTGGTACTCTAGGTTTACTGTCGACGTGACGACTCTGGGTATGGTAGTGACACGTGCGCGTGCGGCCTGTCATGCTCGCTGGCCTGATTCACACACCACCCCTGTATGCTGATACACACTCAGACACACTGCGACACGCCTACGCACATTGACCAAGTCTCAGGCCTGGGAATACACACACAGTGGAGTTTAAAGCCTTAATATTAAAAAATAAGGAACTAGAACCAAAAAATACAACAGCAAGCGGATTCATACAGGTTTGGGTTAGAAAAGGGAGTGTTTCTGTTTTAAATGGATTTCCCGCCTTGACTTATGTATAACATTATTTGTGTGGGTTGAGAGAACTCAGGACTGAATATTATATGACCCCTATTCCAGGCGGCTTCCTGGAATACTTTGTCACAACTACATTTTATGTTAATGTCATGAAAGCAGCAAAACTGTGCAGTTAATGAATAAGATGTTTACAGTTTTGGGACCCTGGAGGGGAATGTACTTCGCTTAAGGCTGTTTCGCAAGTAGTGAATAATATCACTCTCTTTCTCTGTATCTCTAGCGCCGCCTCCTAGTCGATTCAGCCGCAGGGTATCAGGTAGGTACCATGTTGTCTGAATATTGTCTCCTCCTCGCATCACAAGTTAGCATTAGTGCAAGAGCTATGCATTACAAAATATTGTAAGAAGCTTATAGAAGAACCATTCAAATCAAGACACCGGGAGGACCTGGTTTCTGCTAGATAAGTGCGAAATAGAAGAAAAGACCATATGGGGTTGCCAAGAGATCGTAACCATGGAATAGCCAGTGAAGACAGAGAGCAGGTCAGTGATAGGCTGAGTTAGTCAAGATGGCTCTTGTGGCATTTTTTGAAGGCTGAGTGGAACATGTTAACGGAATGTGGATGAGTAGCTGGTTCCACCACCAAGGAACCACACAGGAGAACCATCTAGATTAGGGGAGAGCAGTCTTATCCAGAAAGGGCCGGTGTGTATGCAGGTTTTAACTGCAACTCCTGAATTAGATTACTGATTGGTTGAAGAGTCCTCACACTTGGGTTTGAGCAGCTGACCTAAAGGCTATCCCAAAAACCTGCATACCCTTTGTGGATAAGATTGCCCACCCCAATTTAGACTGATACTTCTCATGTGGTGGAATGATCACTAGGGGCGCTAGCTGACATTTGGGAGGTCAAAGTTTGTGTCTGCATGTCCCCAGTGTGTGCCGAAGCCTTTAACCCTGATGAAGAAGAGGAGGACGCAGAGACCCGTGTCGTCCACCCCAAAACGGATGAGCAGCGCTCTCGACTGCAGGAGGCCTGCAGGGACATCCTTCTATTCAAAACCCTCGACACGGTATGTGCAGAACATCTTGGGGTCCTGTCCCTTTAAACAGCTGACTAGCTGCCGGTTTGTTCACAGCGTCTCTACAATCGCTCCATCTTTAGCGACTACCGTAGTTTGGGATCATTCGCAAATATGACGGTAATCACTTTCCGAACAATGCGTGCATTTATCACATGTCGTAGTGAGATCTTTGAGGTAGAATGTCTAAAATATTGTTACAAATGTGCACTTCATGAAGGATAAAAGAAACTGGAATGCCGGAGTAAAGTCATAAGCACGGTCATGCCTAGGTGACCTTGTGTTTCCCTTGGCAACCATTTTGCTTAGCACCCTGGTCATTGAAAAGGAATTCATTCGCTAAATGAGGATTGGTTGTAGTCACTAATCAGTAAACATTTAGAGAGAGATATGTAGAGAGATACAAGTTGTAAACCTATAGAGCACTGGAACCGTGGGCTGAATTAGCAGTTGGAAGATGGATGGATGGCTGCTGTATTAGCAGTGCTGATGATTAATTGTATAATAACTCTATGATTTATTATGATGTGGTTGTCTTGAACAAAATTTATTAACACTGCTCTTAGTTGAGCTCTCCTGATTTATAGTAAGGAACAACAGGAGCATAGAAGTTGAAGTCAGACAGTTTGCGCCTGTGTTAGATGCACATTCACACAGGGGTTGATTTGTTATTTCTGTGGCCCCAGTCAAAAAGTCAAGTCATTCAAAAACCACCCTCAGATGTTTCACCAAAGAAATAAATAGCTAGTGAGTAGAGTTAGAAGATTGTGGCTGGCTAGCGGCTTTAGCAGGACATGCTACTTAAGCATTTCCTAAATAAGGAACGCATTTATATCAAATTTAGTGTAGTGAAAACTCTGGGGCCCCTTGCAAATGCATGGTTGAGTTAGTATATCGATATGGGTATTTTGAACTGATAACATCGCTGATATCAATAGCCAACTATCATTGTGGACCTAGGATCACAGCATCCCCTTATTTCTTCAGCTTGAAAGTGGGACCCGTACTTCTAAGTGGTGAATGAACTGCCAGAATTCCTCATCCTCCACTATGGAAGATGGCTAATTGTCCAATGCGATCATCTCCATTATTTTAGCAGTTGTCTTTTGCTCTGCTGCTGCTAGCTTTGAATATTGATAAAGTTTAAATCTCGGCCAGCAATATCAGCTAAGATTGAGACTTCAGATCGATACTGATACTGAGAAAGTGAACAAATATCGGCCCGATACGATATGTTAACCGATATGTTGTTCATGTAATTGTTTTTAATGTGCTGCTTTAATTGTTTTAATATTTATTTTTGTTTTATTGTATGCTTCTGTTGTCTGTGTTTGTTTTTGTTTCTGTTGTCATGCTACAGTAGGTCCTTTTGTAAAAGAGATCTCAAAAGGTCTTCCTGATTTTATTATTATTTATTATTAATAACACTTCTGCTGCCTGTTTATATGGAAAGGCTGAAATACGGTTCAGAAATGCTCAGCCAGACCCATGGCATTTGCATTTCCTACGATTCTGTTTTTTTCCTGTGCAGTGTGATTATGCTAAACCTGTTGCTTCTCTCTCTTATTCGTTCCGAAGTTCATTCATTCGGAGCTGTTAAACATTTCCTTTTATAGCAAAGCTTTTACTGTTAAACCTTCAGGCTCTTGTGTAAAGAGAAGATCACCCAGGCATTTCTGAGATTCCTGAACAGTGTTACTGTTGACTTTGACCATTGATAAAATCCATGTTTGAACAAAAATGAATCCATCCGGGAAGATGTTTTTATTCATGATAGCTTTGCTATAGGTTTTATCCAAAACACCATAAGACCCCCTTGCCTGTATTTGCCTGCTTTTTCATATCTATTCTTTTAGACATTTTTCTGAAGCAACTTGGGAATCCCCTTTCTTGGAGGTGACCCCCTCCCCCCTTGGTCATATGTGCACATAAAGCTCCTTCCACATGCCGACCCCTCTTCTGCTTGCGGTTCATGCCAGAGAAATAACTCAGGAGCTCTGTTAGAGAGGGACAGCTCTGCACATGACTGTAATTGACCTGATCCTGACAGCTTCTGTGTGTGTGTGTGTGTGTGTGATGGCTGGCAGTGGGTAGGCCTGCAGTTGTGGCACTGCCACACATTGGGACTTATGAGAATGCATCTTTGCATTTTTGTTTTTACTGATTTGCCTTCTCTATGTGTCCAAGCTTTTTTGTAATGGCTTTGTGTCTGAGATAGTTACACAGTGTCTAGCATCGTCCTTGGTGTGGAGTTCCTTTTGCTTTTTTTTTGCCTGTAATGACGACTCCCTCTTACATCTCTTGACCTGTGACAGGAACAGTTTGCAGAAGTGCTGGATGCCATGTTTGAAGTCCGGGTCCAGACCAAGGAGCACATAATCAACCAGGGTGATGATGGAGACAACTTCTATGTCATAGAGAGGTGAGCGTGTGTGTGTGTGTGTGTGTGTGTGTGCACGTGCGCATTTGCGTGCATGTGAGAGCAAGTCACTGCATTGACTAAACTAGAGTTTTTATATTTGTTTTATTAATTTGTAATGAGAGGCTACTGTTTGTGTTTCTTTTTATTTCCTTTTTTTGTTTTTACTTCTAGCAGCTTGTTTTCCATATAAAACACCCAATGCGTTGTGGTGTCGAACCTTCAGCTGCAGGCTTGTTCCCTGTTATTCTCTCTCCTGCAGGGGGGTGTACGATATCGTCGTACGAAAGGATGGCGTCGGCTGTTGTGTGGGAAAGTACGACAACAAGGGCAGTTTTGGGGAGCTGGCCCTAATGTACAATACTCCGCGCGCCGCCACCATCATCGCCACCACTGAGGGAGCCCTATGGGGGCTGGTGAGGCTGTCACGCTAGCAGGCTCTCACTTCGCTAACCTCTAACATGTTGTTTTGTGGGTTTTTTTAACTAGGTCGTTGTAAAAAGTGCAACCACAGCGCCATCTATTGGTAACTCAGTGAACAACGTCTGTTTGTACTGTTTATTTGGTGTGCTGGTTCGTGCTTATGTATCAGATTATTATTATTATTAGTGTGATTTTGGACCAAACCATATGGAAAGTTTTTAATGACAATATTCAGTAAATGAATGTCATTAAAATTATTTTTAAATTACAATGTAAATGATACGAGCAATAATTAAAATTCAGTTATAACCAGTACAAATTATTAGTTACCCATCAAACTCAGTGGGAGGTCTCTAAACAAAACCTCTAATTGCTTAAATTGCAAACTGTCACAACAGATCAATCTCACCTAGTCGAACGAATTCTGATTGGTTACATTGCAAAGTAAGATATAAATGCGGTTATCAATCAGATGTTAGGTTTTGTTTTAGAGCCTACCCTCTGAGTTTGACAGGTGACTTACAATTTTACTGGTTGCTGCTATCAATTAAATTGTAATTTAAATGATCATTTATTCATTTCGCCGAGCAGGCATTGGTTCGCTGAGTGGGTGGAGTGGGGCAGGGGTGCCATGAATCACATTGCCCAGAACTAAAGTAGCTGGTCGCACCCTGGATGCCGTGTGTAGCAGATGTCGTCAAAGTCAGGTTTATTGCTATAGCATATTTAAAATAAACGCGACAGGTTTAACAAAAATGCTGAGCAGCAATAATAAAACTCCAGTTAGCAGATAACAAATAAAATAAATGATCAAATAACAGACATTGAATTAACTAAGAAAATCCCATAAAATACTAAAGTATCCCAATTGTTCCAATCCTCAATCAAGCTACACCAAAATAGCGCAGTGTGATTTTCAACAGTAAGGCATTCCATAGATGGGGTGCAGTAACAGCCAATGCATGGTCAACAGATTTTAATCCTGACCTTGGATTACTTCCTTTGTCCACACATCCATTATTTTAATTACATTTTTTTACCGTGTTTGTCATTGTTCACAACTGTTTTTTAAAACGGCAGTTTTATTGTGTTTGAGACTGGCTGTTTGCATAACCAATTAACAAAGTCCCACCCCAAAGTGCCAAAAAAGAACCCACTGGCACGTTTGATACTGGATTGCCTGTTTTGGTTACCCTAATTGAATGGCCAATTGAGCCTTTTGTTTCTGCTGTCAGAAATTGATATGATCCGGTCCTGGATGAATGGTATGTTTGGCAAAATCACGTTAAGTTGTGTTTCCTCTTGCAGATTAATGAGTTCAATAAACATTTAAATTTGAGAGAAAAAAAATCATTACAAAGAATCATGAACTCCGTTCTAAGCAAAAAAAAATAAAAAATCACATTTTTTTCCGCAGAATGGTGCAGCCCTACCCTAAACTTCTCCGGCAGCCAGTGTAAAGATGCTAAAATAGGCATAATATGTTCCCTTTTTTTTTTTTCTTTCGACATGAATGTCTAGCGGTGACATTCTGTACAAGCTGCAAACAAGGCAATAAAGATTTACCCACCCTCGGGTGTAAAGATTTGCATTAATCCGAGTTTAAGAAATGATTAACTATGATTAAATCCATGATTTAATCATAGTTAGATTCAAACCGTTTAATCTTAGTGTTTTTATGTGGAAAAAGCACACCAAATTAATTTGTCAAAATTCAGATTGTTGTCAAAAATATCAAGGTTTCTTGCCTGCGACTGGTATAAATCAGCTAGGGAAGCAAAACAAAGAGGAACTAAATATGTAGCTGTTCCAGAACTAAAAAGAATAACTTCTGTTTTGTCTTGATTCATGTCTAAAAAGCCTTCCAGAACATCTAGGCATTCTAGTAGTGACTTCACCAATCTATTATACAGAGGAAGATAAAGCTATGTGTCATTAGCATAAGAGTGTAAAGAAATACATTGGTTTTTTAAAAATCATTGCAACAGGGAGCATATATAGCACAAATAAAACAGGACCAGGAGTTGACCTTTAAGGAAGCCCAAGCCTAAGAGGCTCTTGACCTTGTCCTTTTTGAAGTTAACAGAAAACCTCCTGTCACTCCAATGTGATATACACCAATCCAGGGCAGTACCATTAAATATAAACATGTTCAAGACAGTCCAACAAAATTCCAGGGTTGACGGTACCAAAGGCTGCTGTTAGGTCCATAAGGACCAGATAACAGAATCACCAAAATGAACAATCAATAATAAATCATTAAGAACCTTCAACAGGCCTGTTTCTAGGTTATAAAATGTTTTAATACGTTTCGTAAATATCATTGGCATTTAAATATGCCAGCGACTGATCATAAATAACTCAAAAGTCTTGGAAGAAAATGGCAGCTGGGAGATTAGCCTATAGAGTGTAAGAACAAGTGGATTAAGGTTAGCTGTGTCTAACAGGGGCTTCAGTAAAGCATGCTTGAAATAATCATGAACAACTCCATGGATGATTGAACAGTTCGCAATGTTTAAAATGTTAATACATAAGTGATAGTGTAATACTGTATTATTTTTGCCCCTTCAAGTAAAGTGTTACCCATACAAGTCCAACACTTTCAGATGTGTGACGGTCAGAATGCCCACAAGTGTCTGTGTGTTTCAGGACCGGGCCACGTTCCGCAGATTGATAGTGAAGAACAATGCGAAAAAGAGGAGGATGTACGAGACCTTCATCGAGTCCGTCTCCCTGCTCACATCTTTGGACGTGTGTTCCTGTTTGGCTCTGCGTTTACTCACATTTAAAGACATACTGATTTTCCTTCGACTGAATCTACCCCAAACTCTCTACCTCAGGCGTCGGAGCGGATGAAGCTTGTCGATGTTTTAGGGGGAAAGGCGTTCCAGGACGGGGAGCGGATAATCACGCAGGTAGGGTGGCGTTGGCTACGCGGGCTTCCCTGCATGTGTCTGCAGGCCTTCCTTGCATATGAGTTAATGTCTGCTGGCGGGCCTCCTCTTCTCAGGGTGAGAAAGCCGACTGTTTCTACATCGTGGAGTCGGGGGAGGTGAAGATCATGATGAAGAGTAAAGTGAGTTTGCCCCCCCCCCCCACATCCCAATTCATCTTCTGGCCTGTCAGATTGAGCATCTTCATGAGTGGATCTTTCCTGAAATTGCCGTTGCATCTAGACTAAGGCAGACCAGCAGGACAACGCAGAGGTGGAGATCGCACGCTGTCACAGGGGGCAGTATTTCGGCGAGCTGGCCCTGGTCGCCAACAAGCCCCGGGCTGCCTCTGTCTACGCTGTGGGGGGGGTCAAGTGTTTGAGTAAGATCCTCAGCCCCCCTGTTCATGTGCGCTGCAATGGGAAGTCTCTGATTTAA